CCTACGGAGGAAAGGATCCAGAAACTAGAGTTTATGCTGGACAAACTGCAAAATGAAATTGATCAGGAGTTGGAACATAATGATTCCCTCGTTAGAGAAGAAAAAGAGACAACCGATACAAGGAAAAAATCACTTCTTTCTGCTGCTTTGGCTAAATCGGGTGAAAGACTACAAGCTCTAACACTGCTTGTGATCCACTACAGAGCAGGCATTGAAGATATGGAATCTTTAGAAAGTCTGTCTTTAGAACAGCACTCCAAAAAAATAAGCAAGTACACAGATGATACAGAAGAAGACCTTGATAATGAAATAACCCAACTAATAGACTCTGAGCCATTTAGCAGCATATCAGATGACTTACTTGGCCCATCTGAGTCTGTGTAACAGACAGACTGTTTAAACTTTCCAGTGATTAGGGAAAAGTTGCATCTAAAGTACCACAGATACAACCATGTTTAAACCCTTTCACAGTGCACTTGGACTGCTTCTCCACAGTTATTTGCTTGTTTAAGAACAAGAATGAAAAAGGTTGTTTTCGAGCAGAAACGTACAACTCACTAAATTGGTTGTTTCAGATTGCATTTATAGCTATGCTTTTGGGTTTATACTGGGAATTTATTTTTACTAATTTATTTTTACCTTTTTCTAATTATGTAAGCTAACTTTTCATGTTTATGTACATGTGATGTCTCGTGTTATTTTCCTTCCTCTTAGTTTTTGAATTAAATAGGATACTGTCCAGATTCTTGAAATTTTCATTTCCATCATAGTTATAACAAATTTTTTGCATGCCCAAGTTGACAACAGCAATCATTGAGGGAACAGGTTTGAATCTTTATGTTATGAAATTTGTCATCTCTACTTACTTGAGATTTTAGTTATTTTGGGGCTTTAGGGGTGCTTTTGTTTCATTTTTGCCAAATGTAACATGAAAGCGACGCTGCAGTTTTAGCTGGTTATGCTGATTTAGTAAAAAAAAAAATTTACATATATTGCTTTCTATGCTTCTGTGAAATTTTTTTCTAAAGTTTTTATGCAGTTGAGGTATAGTAAGAATATAGTGATTAATTTGAAGAGCTTGCATTGAAAAACAGAATGTTATAGGGAATAAACATAGAATGTAGTTGGTCAAGAATTTTGTAGAGAGGGTAACAAGATTACTAAAAAACAGTAACCAGTAGGATTTTGAAATAGTCTTTCAAAATGTGGCTGCTTTCCTTTTAAATGAAAGTTCTAAACATTTATGATTATTTTTCATCTTCAGTTCTCCCATAGGAAATAAAGCATGTGCAAGGATATTTAAAGTTTCAGAGGACTGTTCTTAAAATGATCGTGTTGATAACTAGTTTTGGCTGTTTTGTTTTAGAAACATTTTCATGCAGAATGTTGTGAAAGAGAGGAATCATACAAAACAGGTTTAATTCTTTGTTTGACATCCTCCAGGCTTAAAAATGGGGATCGTTCTGAATGGTTCTGTAATTCAGACTATCTTCATTCGTTAAGAAAATTAAGTAAATAAAAATAGACAGTATATATACATAGGAATTGGGGCCAATTCTCTGAAAAGGAAGATCTACTCTGTTACTCAGTCCATCGTGTGGATCCCAGTAACATATGACTGAGGGAAAACATGTGAGCATGACCTCTGTTGGTATACCATAAACGTTTTGGCCTTTTATATGCCTATAAAATAGATGTGTATGTGTTTTTCCCTTTTGTAGGTAACTACTATGATAATTGATATATAGTGAAAATGACATGAATTTAAAACTAGATGGAACAGCTTTTATGGCTGGCAGGAAAAGGCATAGTATAATAGTAAGGATTCTGGCCCAGTCTATAGCCCAGGACTCCATACAAGAGTTTAAGTTCAAGCTCTTCCATTGGCCATTAATGAACTCTGTAACAATAGGCAAGCCACAGAAGGGCTCCATGGCACAGTCTCCCCAGCTCTACAGTAGGAATAAACAATACTTGATCTAACTACCTCACAGGATTGTTGTGAGGAAAATAACAGCATGACTGTGAAAGAGCTCTGAACAGTAAAAAGCTGTTCAAATAACAGGTGTGACTTATATGAGTGATAAAAACATTTTTGAGGGTAGAAAGGTTATTCCACTTTTAAAAATCAATACCAATTCTCATTCCTGCTCTTTTATTAAGTGAAATATTAGGAAACTAAATACCTTTCTTGGCCAAGTTTATAACAAAAATATATGTGTATACCCCCATTTTTTGTTGTTTATTTAAGCATGCTTGCATTTTAAAAGAACACTGCTATAGAAGTCTTTATACACCAAATCCTCTGAAAGCTAAAATGTTGTTCTGTAACATATGCTTGAAACAATCTGCCCAATGTAATGACCAGCTTTCACCTTATCGTAACAAATAACTTACCACTGATAACCTGGAAGGCGGAGTGTCTGTAAGTGGCTGGTGTTTATGGATTATATCGTGGAAGTTTTAGTGACATCCAAGCATGCTGCTGAAACTGACGCATTTGAAAGAGCTGTAGAAATAATGCAAAACTTCGGTTTCATAAAAATCTACTATGTTTTAAAAGTATTTAACTCTGTAGAAGTATAATTATGGAAAGCTCAGTAATGCTGCTATTGATATTTGTAAAATATAGCTTTAATGTAGTGCAATATTTTTATATGTACTGGGAGAGGCAGTGGAGGCATCACAGTTGTACTTTAGTGCAGAGGGGGACACTCCAAATAGCCTAGTGGATAGTAAGGTGTAAGGCTTCAATGAAAACAGTTGTATTATATTACATTCCTGATGTAATCTTGCTGCCATGCTATGTTATCTATAGCTAAAAAATAATAAATAAAAACTACCACAGAAAACAAGAATATCTCCATTTGATGATATCTGAAAAAAGTGGTTGCCACATCTCTATGGAATTGTCGCCTGGTGTAATTTGGCCATGCAAACAAGCTTAACAAAGTCTGCTTTTGCTAAACAAAATTGCTATTTTGAAAATTGCCTAAAAACATTAAATTTTGGTTTTACTTAAGTTATGAAATACCAATTATGGATTTGCCTCTGATATTAGTAATTAGACTATTTTCTATATCTAAAGTCTACTTTCTTCTGCATTGACATTTAGATCAATGATTGGGTTAGACAATCAAGCTGAGCAACATTTTAGCATTATTTTGGAATCAGAATTAATAGGGTGCATTTCTTAATATCAAGTCAAGTCTTTTATTCTTCAATATCAGAATTAGTTGAAATACTACGTGGCCATTTTATGATTTTGAAAGGAGAAAACAAGCTAAAAATTTAAGGGTACTGTCAAGTTCTAAATTTAAGTATATCTGAATTTTTTGAAATGCAGTTTGAAAATATTTGGCTCTAACGAATAGTAAGATAATAAAATCTTAAGTCCCCTAAAAGTGAATAAATTTACAATATAACTTAAAAATGTATTGTCTTTATTTCTAGATTGAGATAATAGCGTTCCTTTTATTAAAAAAGGGGCGGGGGAAATTCCCCTAATGCTTTTTCTTTTTCCCCTATTCCTTTTTAAGCTGTGAATCCCCTTCAAGATCTGATTAAAACTGTGGACGCTTACCCTTGAAAGATACACACATGCACACCATAAGTTTTATGGAACTTCTAGGGGCCTATGGGCCCACTGTGTCTATAGTTGTTATTTGTTCACAGCAATCAGGAAAACTATAACTTTAGAAATGCAAGGAAAACTTAACTGGGTTTTTCCACATTGACATCTTGTGGCTAGTTACATATTTCAATTTAAAACAAAATTTGCAAAGCCAAAAAGTATGGTTCAAACTAACCTGGAGTGCATTTTGCCTGATGCCTGCCAGCAGAGAAAAATAGTTTTTAATTAAAGATCACACTCAAAACAATACCTTCTTATGTATTGTATTCTGATAATATCTGGTTTATAAAGGAATACAGCAGGCACAGTAATGTTCAGAAGATTTATTAAGTAAAACTATCTAAAACATGACGTAGACAGAAACACTTTAGCAGTCAAAAGAAAATTGAATATTCATTGCTACCTCATGGTTTCTGTATCTGTTTTGCCAGGTACAAACATAAAAACCACCTCTGCTCAAAAAATAAATGTTGAGAGAGCTGTATGTTCTTTGTTCTGATACACACATTAAAATCTTTTCAGTCTTGCTAACTCCAGAATATTAGTCATACAAAAGACCTTACAATTTTTTTCCCCTTAGATATAGCAGATACCTTTTGCTCCCAAAACAGTTCTGAAAAACTCATCTCTTTTATGTTATCTCTAGGTATCAACAGTAGGCATGCCTTTCCCAGTTGTTCTTGAAGAGGGTGAAGCCTTAAAGGCAAAAATAAATAGGAATACGTTACATGGTATTGGGAGCAAGGAGAACCACCAACCCTCTAAGAGAATTGATCTGTAGCACGTTCTTTTTGAAGGCTCTCCCCTATGAAGTAGAGAACAATCTTGCCTTTTTACTTTGGCCATATAAGAGAGCCTCCAAAGCCGTCTTCCAAAGTGGTGGACTTGTGAAGCTGCCCAATGCAAATACGTGACTAGGAAGCTGGTTCGCTTCCAACACATTGCACTTGAAAATCAGACTTCAACTCATTCAAAGCCCCACAGAAAAGCTTCATAAAACAAATGTAAATGAACTACTAGCTACTTGCCTAGAGAATTACCAGGTTGAGGAGTCCTTGTTCTACAGTTCTTTGCTCTTTGTCCAAGTTAACAGAAACACAATTTTAGCTTAACAAAGAACTGACATTAGGCAATTTTTGTTTACAATTACAGAACTATAGAATTAACAAGTATTATTTGAGACATTCCACATTATCTTCACACTCCAATCACATCTCATACAAAACTTGATGTAAACTGACAGTGTTCACTAACACGGTATTTGCTGTTACACTGAAAAGGCACATCAATGTTGTCATGCTCAGGAAAACTACATTACACGGCACTAAGTACAGTAATACACAGACATTTTTAGATGTTTGATTGCTTTCTGCCTGTGAAAGGGGGTGTTGTCCTGCCCACCCTATTTTTTTACCTGTTTTCCTAGTGTGATTCAAGATATAATTTCATTCCTTCTTCATCTTCATTTAAAATTTGTTTTCACATTGATGTCAACAACTTTCAGAAGTCTAGAAAATAATAGTTTCAGACAACTCAAAATTAATAGCTCCCTAGAAAACACTTGGATGACCTCCAAACAGGACAAAGATTATAGTCTGATTTTTTTCATGTCATAGCAGCTATTAGCCTTTTAAATTTCTTTTCTAAAATTTGAACTAGATGTTGATATAGCTTATCATGCTTAAACAACCTTGACAGCATAAGGTACATCTACCCTCAATTTACTTTCATCAGGTAAGACAAAAGTACATATCTTAAAAGGAAAGCTGCTAGTTGCTCAGAACTACGTCTGGGTGCTTTTCTCTGCTTTTAGAACATTTACTGTTTTTCCCTTATTGGCTTTATTGTTTGCTGCCAACCATATGACATGTAAACATATCATTTACAACCATCTGTTTCCAGGTAGATGATTACATAGAAAACTAATGCCAGCTAAGATTCATGGATAAATCCAAAAGATGACTGACTCAAGTTCTTGTCCTCTGCATTTGGGATAACTAGCTTTTAACTCCTAAATATATTGATAGTAACTACGAGCTGAATAACTCAACACTCTGTCACTACGTAACATCTGTCTTGATTCTGTTAAGACTTCCTTCTAGTTTCTCATTGTTGGAAGTGTCTCGGAGATAATGTGTACTTTAGTTTTAAACACTCATTACCAATATTCAGAAAAAATATAAGATTTTTTTGCCCAGGTGTTCGTGAATGTAAGTTAAAAAATTATATTTGATTTGGATTCAAATATTTATAGATTTACACTACATTTCGTCAAAATATATTGTATAATATTTAATAAAATCAAATACATAAAATAAAGTTTTCAACACTATTTATACAAACTCCTAGAAAAGCTGCTTTTTCTTTATAAGGCTGTTGGCAATCGATCATAACCATGGAAAAGAAATAACCTTTGGTTGTTTTACTCTTTCACCAGGGATGAAGGGTATGACTAAGACAGTTCTGGATGAGTCATTTCACTGGAAACACTGTTTTATACAATTAAATACTTGGATGACTTCTGAGGGTCTCAATCACTTTCAGATTCTTCATCATCACCTATCGGATATGACTGGATATTATTCTGAGTGTACATTTTTGTTTTAATGGGGCAGTTGTGATCCATGAGAATAGCCTAAAAGAAAGCACAGTGCATATATATTAACTTCTTGTTTCACAAAGATAAGATGGTTTTAACCTACTGTTGTTACGGATTCCTAATTTGAAAGCTCTATATAGTACCACCCACTATTAGCCAGTCATTTAGTGAAATTGCCAGGTGCCTGGCCTACAAGACCTGGACTTCTATGCTTAGTAAAAGTTCCAGGCCATAGGAGACAGCAGATGCTGTCTCTGCTGTATTTTCATTACACCTGCCAGGGGCCATAAGTCAACTTGAACCTGTAAGCTATGAAGAAAGGGGTATGCAGGTTAGGTTTAGGAAGAGTCAGAATCTTGGAATTAGGGTGGGCTGATCTTGGAAGTCACCAAATGCAACTTCTGTTCACAAACTTCATTGTGCCAACACCCTTAATAAGGACCTGCTCTCTCCTTAATGAGGCAAGCTCTCATGTTAGAAACACACCTGACGCTACACTAAAACTTGTCTCCATTGTTTCTATTCACAGATCCAGTTCTGACACCAGCCATCTTCACAGACTGCCCCTTATAATCTTTTTAAAGACCACTGCCATGGCCCCTTAGATTTCCCTAAACTAAACATCACAGGGCCTTTATCTTTTCATAAATGACATGTCCAGAGCACCTCTCCCCAAATCCTGGCTGTCTTCCTCTTGCTCAAGTGTATGATTTTTTAAAAGAATACATTCCTCTTATAAGCATCAAAATCTCCTGCTTTCCCTTACTGTTACTGAAAATTAAGCAAAAAATAGTCAATTGACCCTCAACTGATAAACATCCTTAACTGATAAGCATTTGTAGTTATTATTCTTCCTGAAAGCATACAGACCAAGCACATAGTCTGATACACAGCTGATGTCCATCATGCCAGGACCACGCTAAGCATTTTCCATGCAATACCTCAACTTCACAGTAACCCTCTATGGTAGGTTGATAACCCTCTGAGTAGGCACAGAGGTTAAAGAACTTGACCAAGGGATGTACAGCTAGAATGGGGCAGATGTGAGCCCAGGCGGCCTTATGCTCAAGTCTACTCTTGCAACACTCCATGGCAGAGTCAGAAGAGTACAGAGGACAGCAGTGAGACACTGGGTACCACTAAAATGAATTCTCATCAGGTATGTCTTTTGGAGTATTCCTCCACGTAAAACTATCCCCCCACTATCTTTTTGTGCAGTTTGAAAATCTAAATGGAAACATTTATCTGGATTAAAATTTATCTTATGTTGGCCTATTGCAACCTATCTTGGTGTTTGTTAGTTACTCCTCCCAGCTCTTCTCCCACAGATTTGATAAGCTTCTATGTGTCCACTCAGTGATTAACCCATTCATCATTTCCTAAGAAATTCTAAAATGATCTGCCTGTGTGACATGTTAAGATAAGGACTTCCTTGACCCTCTAAGTTAGGCTGCCAGCTCAAATTGTCAGCTGCAAATTTAACTCAATTTTTTTATTATGCTTCTTACCAAGTGAACTAATACATGTATTTAATGAAGAGTTCAATTTCTAAAAGTAATTGAGGCAATAGACATTGTACACCAAGACCATTTTCCCCATGTGGATGTGTCCTTGTTACACAAAAAGCTTAATGCCAAAGAGCTCAATGTCTCATCTCCCTAGATTAGTGATCCTTAAAGAAACGTGCCCGGGCCGGCCCCGTGGCTTAGCGGTTAAGTGCGCGCGCTCCACTACTGGCGGCCCGAGTTCGGATCCCGGGCGCGCACTGACATACCGCTTCTCCGGCCATGCTGAGGCTGCGTCCCACACAGAGCAACTAGAAGGATGTGCAACTATGACATACAACTATCTACTGGGGCTTTGGGGGGGAAAAAGGAGGAGGATTGGCAATAGATGTTAGCTCAGAGCCCGTCTTCCTCAGCAAAAAGAGGAGGATTAGCACGGATGTTAGCTCAGGGCTGATCTTCCTCACAAAAAAAAAAAAGAAAAGAAAGAAACGTGCCCAAGAATCACTTGAGAGGGGCAGGTTAGAAATGAAATTCCAGGTCCCTACCCTCACGTGACAGTAGTGTCAAGATGCTGTGAGGAACACCGCCCTAGTTATGTGGCATTATCTAGGACTATAACAGAGTCGTACAGCTGACAACAGCTTACTCGGAACCTACTAGGTATGTATGTCAGTGCCCTCAAGGTCCTATACCAGCAACTTAGTTACCTTATTGCACAAGGAACAATAGGTTCCCCAGGGTTCACAGGTGGAGTGCTCACTATGGGTTAAGTGCTCAGGGAAAGCTATATGGAAGAGATGGGAGTTGAGGTGAACCTTGAATGAGGGAAAGGATTTACACAGCAAGGCAACTGGGAATGAGCGCAGTATGGGTTATTTACCAAATGGATCATTAAGTAAAACAGGGACACTAAGTAAGCCAGCCTGGCCACCATAGAGATCTGATCAGGAGGCACGTGAGACATTAACTGGAAAGTTTAATGGAGGCCAGACTGCAGGGCCTTGAATGCCAGGCGGGGAGCCTTGACCCTTGCCCCGTAGGCAGTGAGGTAGCCTTGGAAAGGATGGCCATGATTCTACCTTATTCATAACTGCCTTCTATCTCTTGGTTCATCCACCATTAGACCTGACTGCATATATGTAGACTTCTTAAGGACCCCCCAGAACCCAGCACTGGGCACATAATATGGACTTGACTAAAAACTGCATTGTAAGGGAAGAAGTTCAGTCAGACTGATTATTTGGCATCATACCAACTTAAATGGTCAAAATTTATCAATTCAGCCAAACCACATTTGTTCACCAGCCTATCTGCTTCAGGTAAAGAACTTTTTCTTCCTTGAAATATTGGTTTCTAGCTTCTAAAACCTAGCTTACTGGCTTCTGAACCTCTTCTGAAAGATTTAATGTGCAATAGTTTTACTTTTATAAAAAGTTATACATGAATAAATAAGCTGGATGGCATGTAATATTCCAAAAGTGCCATGAAAAGAGAGACAAGAACAGCATCGAGTGGGTAAGTCAGGTGTGTGAGAGACGTGTACAGCATGGCCCGGGGGAGCTGCCAGGCAATTGAAACCAGCATTCCGTGCACTGCACCAGGGAGGAAGGTGCATTTGACTCTCAACTGAAGAGAAGATAAAAAGGAGGTGGTGGTGGTTTGAAATCAGAGCAAAGCCCTGTTACTGAGAGTTGAACCCCAGCCCCTGACAAATGCCTGGTTTCCTCTCAGTCACAGAGTCAGCATCTTCAAAGTGGTAAAAACATCGTGGGCCCAATGAAGTGCAAAAGTAATGCAAATGTGAAGCTGGGATAGTGAAACAGTGAAAGCATTAAAAGGTAAGCACTCCAGGCTTTGAGACTTTGATAGATACCAGGCCTGCACGCTAGAAAAGTTTTATTTAACATACATAAGAAAAAATTAGTGATGGTTTTGCGCATCCACCATGTAAATCCTCTGCAAACAGACAAATTTCTCTAAATAGATTATAATAGGCAGAGCATATTCAGTCTCCTTAGCTTCTGGCCTTGCGATCCTTGCCCGACCCACAGCATCCAGACCTACCCCCCAGAAAACAGAGTAGCGGGAAGGACTATACGGGACGACTGTCAGAGAGCTCAGTCACCCAGAAAAACAAAGCTGCAACCCCAAATCACCTACTTTCCTGTCTGGCAACAACTAGAAACTTCAAGAGTAAGATGTAAGAAATGTGACCTATCTTTAAAAATAATTTTTCAACCTGGAGAACAAAAATCCATACCAGAACACAACTATTCTCAACTGGATACTTTGAGAGTTACAGGCTGCACATAATTGTCTTATAACTGGAACGCACATTTTCTCAAATGACAGTGTTGATATTTCTTATACATGCAGAGGAACTTGAGGAACAAACAGGTTTTTTCCTCCACCTGTATTGGTAATTCAACACTGACTGTAAAAAAACAAATCCAGTATACCAAATGGAAGAAAAACTCAAGTGCTCTCCAACTAGTTCATGATTCTAGGACTGGGGAGCCATGAAAACAGCATTAGATCTTTCAATACAGAATAGCTTAAGTCCAAACACCTCATCCTCAGAATGTTGCCTAATGAAAGAATCATTTGCTATGGTCTGTACGTCTTATTCTGGCTCCCACGTCCCCCTGCATTTGGGAACTGGTAATCCTGAACGCCAGCTCTTGTCCGTATTGGATTTTCTCAAGTGGGCAGTAATCAATCCCTCCTCCTCTGTGGCACACTGCTGTCTTGCCCTCGCTGCCCCTCATCATTAGCTGCTATCAGTTTCCACCCACTTTCTTCCTGCTCGGCTTGCACAATGAGTTGGCAGCAGCTGTTGGCTGCCCCCCTCAAATGTTACCATTATGCCAGTCAAATGGCATCCAACGTGATGCCTTCAATTATGTGCATCAATTATGGGCAGCGAGATGCACATTTTCACGATTTTAATGATTCATCTTGCAAAGCACTTATTAAGGATTTTGACATTTTACAGTGAAAGTGACTTTCTGGAAGCCTGTAATTCTTGTTGCTTTGCCTTTCAGGATTGTGTCTTCCATTTCTTTTGGCATTTTTCTTTTTAAATGAACTAAAACATTGGTTTAAATCTGGAAAGAGAAGAGGTACTGAGGCCTGCCTTCTGCCAGTCATTTTGGGGATCAGAGTGGTAGCTGGCTGGGCAAGCTCACCTCCCCCCATCCTCTGACCTCATCCATTTCCTTCAAGACCTCAGATAAGCCATCAGGCTGCTGCCGACAAACAGATAACACAACAGCCACTAACATCTGCCACCTTGGCTGGGAAGCCCATTCAGCAGCTCTGGGGCCTGAAAAGCAAAAGGAAGCTTTCACTTCACAGAGGGGAGAAAGGGAGGATACTGCGGGACCACTGAGCTGATGGAGTAAGTCAGCGAGTTAGTAAAGCAGGAAAGAAGAGCGGGTGGTACTGGAAATAGAAACACATTTATTGAGCATTTACTGTGTGCCAGACTTGGGGCTAAGCACTCTGCTGGGATGCTTTCATTTAATCCTCATAACAACCCTAGGAGGCAGATGCCATCATTTCCCCAGGAGACAGTTCGGTTCCAGGGCCTGTGCTAGCCCTTCACTCTCTCCCACAAGTCTTAAAGAGTCTCCTGGGTGACAGAGCATTTATAAGTGATTTTTTGTCAAAAAGAGTTGGGAGTAACCTTCATTCAGCCTTAATCAAATCAATACGGTGGCAACAGAATGACAGTTTTCAGTTGTTGCTCTGAGAATTTTCTGACCACAGTTTGGGCAAGGCACTGTGCTGGGTCAGCCAAACAAAGATGCATAGGGACCCTACCCAACCAGACTGGAAAACAGGTAAGTCCCTAAGAGTCTGAGAAAGTGCTACAGGCGTTCAGAGCTGGAGAGGCATCTAAGGTAGAGGAAGGCAGAGAGGATGGCTTCCATCAGAGTATTTCCACAGCACCTCCCACTCCTCTTCTTCGAGTCAAATGGGTCACGAGTAATTCAACATTATCTAGTTAAACCCTATCTAACAAAGGGCACAAGACCACTGCTCAGGGCTGGATATGTTTTTAAAATATATTGAACAAATTAATGAATGCAAAAAAAAATGCCCAAAATAAATAAGGCTGCACATAACCTAACTGTAGGGTCCGTGTCTGTCTTGAAATCCACTCTTTGGGGAAAATCATAAAAGGGCAGTTCAAGAAATGCCAAAGTTTTAAGACCTATTTCAGTTCAACCAGCAGAAAGAACCTCTGATGTACTCCCAAGAGAGCATCACAAATGGACCTCCTGTCCATTCCTAAACACAAAGATAGCATCTCCCAGCATTCATTCTTTAATCCAAGGCACTCTTCCTTCAGCTGGATGAATATCACCATCTGATGTTTAAAAAATCAGCAACACCACCACCAGGTATGAAAAATTATTAGAAAGGTTAAAATGACTGTTGCATTTCAAAATTCACATTTAGAATCAAAAAGGTGGAACTTGTTCAAGAGAGGAACACTTTATACTCAATACTCTATCCTGCCTATAGCTATGATTCTGGTCATGATATTATGAATTTAAAGGTTATACATGCTCATGTGTGCCCAAAGGTGCATATATGATAGTTTTCCATAAGGGTCTGTTACCTACACTAAAACCATCTCCAGAATCTTCTACAATAAAGACTAAGATACTATTACTGAAAGCTGTAAGGGTTAGGAGAAATGCAAACAGCTCCAAAAATGGCTAATCTTAGGAGTAAGCGCAGGAGGCAAAAAAATTACGTCCAAGATTTTCAAGAACCATAGAAAATTAAATTGAACTACCCCATGTTTATATTTGGTTGACAAAAGAGATACACTGACTGTTAATCTATGTACAAAAATAACTTCATTCTTCACATTTATAAACTAATGCTGGATACAGTAGAAGTAGCTGCCGTATGTGGTATAAACTAAAAAGGAACTCTTACCCCATTTATGTTTGGAGAGTTCTACCCAAAAGGAGCAGAAATATATACCATGAGGAAACTATCCAGAAGACCATGCTCAAGTGATCAAGAAACACTTCACTGTATCCTAAAATTTCCTTACCATTTTCTCTTCCTTGGCAGGTGGACTTCGAAGAAAAAAGCAGAGAGGAGCAAAAAGAATATCAATTATTCCAATAATTGTCATGAGCCATGGAAATCCAATTGTCTTTGCGATAGCCCCACCAGCAGAAGGACCTTTCAGGAAACAGAGAATGAGATAAAGTTCTCCAAGTGTCTTGTAGACAGAAAGATACAAAGGTTTAAATAATTTTTTGTAGGCATCGTCTATCATGCATTGAGATAAAAGGTTGTTTTGAAAAGCCAGTGTCCTCACCTATAGCATATCCCATACAAAATGCCACATCTGCAATGGCGTACACACTCCCATAGACAGACACGTGCCGCAGGTCTACCAGGTAGCCCATGATGGGCATCATTGATGAATCCACCATTCCTGTGAACAGTCAGAGAACACAGTTCACGGGAAACTGATGTAAACCGCAAATGGGCTGAATGTCAGGGATTGTGTCCTAAACTAACGACCCTACTGGCTCTTCACTTTTTGCCATCACCACCTGCAAGTCTTGAGGCAGACTCCCTACAGCATACCTTTCACTGAGGAAAGATGGTAGAAGGCAGCTGAGGCTGGAGCTGGAACCCAGGCCACCATTTGCCTGTTCTCTGCCTTGCCACACCCTTCCTCCACTGCCTGAATGGCCTGTCTTCCAGTGGAGGGCACCTGGTCTTCTGGTGACTCACCTGCCCTTCATCAGATCCAGTGGGTCGCTGGTTACTGGCTATGTGGGCCCCTAGCCTGCTTCCTGTTGATGCTTTCCTGATTGACTGTTTTCTGGTCCACTCTCCCTTGCCCTCAAAGACTGCACACACCTAACATGCCTCACCGAGTCTCCTCCCCATCCACACCTTGGCCCATACTTCAACTATGAGAATTAAAGCTGGAAAAGTACTAGGGAAGATCAGAAGGTACTAGAACATAAAGGAGTCTGAGGGATCATCTGGCCCTACTCAGGAAACTAAAATCCAAAGAGATTTCCTCATTTCATTGGCTAAAAAAAACCCAATAAACCACCACCATGACCAGTATTAGACTCTCTGGTTGTCTTGAATAATCAGGGACAGGTAGCATAAAGAGTGAGCACATATGTTCAGAGTTCTGGGTTCAAATCCCAAGCTGGGTGACATGGTCATGCTTTATCTCTATGAACATCAGTTTCCCCATCTATAAAATGGGGATGATGATGATTGGCTAAAATGAGACAGGGTTTGTGAACACACCCAGTGGAGCACTCAAATGTTAGTTCCCTCACCTCCACCAGAAGGTACCAGAAGCAGAAAGATGAGGGAAATTTTTTTATTCAACTAGTATTTTCTGATCACCTAATATGTACAAGGCACTGGGGATATAGGGGTGAACAAAACAAACATAAGAGTTGGACGTTAGGCAACGAGTTAAAAAAGGAATTATAATTGTGACTGATGCTACGAAGGCGCTGTGAGAGGATATGTACTCATCAGGGGAGCCTACCCAGGTCTGGGGGCTCAGCAAAGGCTCCATTCTTTCTTTCTGCTCTACCACTCAAAAGAATAAACTCCTGCCTTTATCCTGTGATAGACTTAGCATTTACTTTTATCATGACCAATCTGTATATTATAAGTGAGAGACAAACATATACTATTTATCCAAAATATTAACAAGATTGTTCCTAAATATTAGTTATTGTTCTTCATGTTACAAAGACTCGCCTCCTTTGCCCATGAAAATTCCGGCAGCACAGGTGGTCATCAATACAGCAGTCCACATTTGCTGCACCAAACCTTACAAGAAAACACATGTGAAGTCTTTGTCCCCCAGCCTCATATAAAAAGGTCTGCTGACAGATCTGAGCCCAAACAAATGTGCTCTAAGAGAGGGATTCTCTCGTTTGCCCAAGTGCAGCAGTGGAGTATCAGCTGGCTTCTGTAAATATCAGGCTTTTAAAAATACCAGTTTTCAGGAAATAAATGACTAGCACGTGGAAGCAGATATCTTTCTGTGGACGCTCTACAGGCCATACTTGAGCTCGGCTGACCACAGCCTTCTCTCAAGCTTCTAGAAATTTTAGGCTGAGTAACTATAGTCTGCCTAAGTGAGAGGAAATCTTTCTTAGGAACAGGGAAAACAAAGTTTTAAATTTAGGCACAAAGCTCGTGTGACTTACCAATTGCAAAACCAACTCCAAAGTTGGGAGCTATGAGTCCATAAATGTTTTTTGCAAAAGGAATCTGTAAGAGGAAATAAACATTATACTAAAATAACATGATATCCAATTCTAAATCATCTTGGAAAGACTTAAAAATGTTTTCTCCAGCCTAGTATGTGTTCCCTTCTGAAGGAAATGGAAGGAGGAAGATGGGGTTTGGGGAGAACTGGACCCTCTAAATCTTTAAAAGCTCAAGCTGAAACATGTTTTGTGACCACCATGAAAAACTAGTCAACTGCTGTATGCGAAAGACCAGCCTAGTCCACACTCCATTTTTGACAAGGACCAGAGGCCTCATTTGGGGTAGATATTGGTCACTGGTAGAAGATGTTTTAGTCTAGAAAAACATCTTGCTATTGTTTCAGGCTAGATACCCTAAAGTGTTTATGATATTGTAATGTTTCAGATAATAGTGGGGAAAAAAGTGAAATATCAACTATGTAATAAAACATTCAAATAACTTCCAACTGACATAAGATGAGAATCTATCCCTTGGGGAGTCTTGTCCAAAATTTTTAAGATGATAAAAAATTGAAAGGGGCCAGCCTGGTAGCATAGTGGTTAAATTCGCGCACTCCACTTTGGCAGCCCAGGGTTTGCAGGTTCAGATCCCAGGCGTGGACCTACGCACCGCTTATCAAGCCACGCTGTGGCAGGCATCCCACATATAAAGTGGAGGAAGATGGGCATGGATGTTAGCCCAGGGCCAGTCTTTCTCAGCAAAAAGAGGAGGATTGGCAAAAGATCTTAGCTCAGGGCTAATTTTCCTCACCAAAAAAAAAAAAAAAAGGAAGAAAATGAAAGATGTGATAAAACTAAATATCAACAGACTTCAAACTGCTATAAAATATTTCTTGGTGATTCTTGCCCAAAGCAAAAGTTTGATTTACAGACTGTTTCCACTTGTCAAATATCATCTTTTACTCACACATAAAATGCTGACTCCAACAATTATCATTCCTAGAAGAGCACAAAGCCACCTATCAAAAAAACAAAAAAGCACCATCAATAAATGATTGTTCAATATTTTTCCCCAGTCCAAATTTTCAATGGAAATCAAAACAATTACTTGTAATAGCTAAAGTAGAAACACTTAGAATTTTTTTAAAAGAACTACATTGTTATAACAGAGTGAGTGTTGCCTCCATTTCATCTTACCTCCCCATTTTGTGCGCGAGTATCCCGAAAATATTGGTTCCAATGAGATAAGAGATACTAGCTGGCAAGAAAGCAATGCCTGTAAATTAAAGGACACCTTATCAGTACTGATATCAGTCAAATATTAAAAAAAACTAATAACTGTAGACACCACCACGGTGATTAGAGCACAGGAAATGAAGCCCTGGGGCCTGCACCCAAGCAGCCAATATCCGGCAGCTGACGGATCCAATCTGGACCCCATGCAGCTTATCCGTCCGCACAAAGCTGCTGAGACACTCCAGAAATGAAATTCATTCCTCTATCAACCACTTCATCTCGCCTCCATCTCTGCTGGTGGTGAGGCTTACCCGTGGACCGAGACCAACAGACCGCGGCTGCTGGAGCTGGGCAACCGCAATCCTGCAGGTGCCGTGAGCAGTGGTGGTAGCTGCCTGTCCCCTTCCCCTTCGTTATTTTGTACGACAGGAGTTAGATACAGGCATTGAAAAAAATAGGGAACATTAAGATAAGCACAAAGAATAAAGTTAAAATTATCCCAAACCTCATCAGTCAGATAATCACCACTGTTATTTCCCCTTGTGAGTTTATGTGTACAGAAATAAATGTGGGCGCACAGGATTTTGTTTTCCTTTTTCCAAAAAAATAGGATTATACCTACTGTTCTACATCCCGCTTTTTTCAATTAGCTCTATGAACATCTTTCCATGTCAAAAAAGTAAATGTGTATGTGATCATTTTTTGTGGCCAAGTCACATGTGGCTGACATTTTCATGTCCAAGGTTTACTGCTCTCCCAGGAGAGGGACCTCGCAACCTCTAGATAGAGACTGAGTTGATTTCCAGCTGCTGGTGGCAATGCTCGCCTTGAATGTACCCTCTGCAACGGGCAGGAAGGCCTATGCAAGCCAGACCAGGTATGGCTGCCAGGGCATTGTCCACATCAGCATTCTCTGGTCCTCAGCCATTATTAGGAGAATAGGACAATCTCTTCAAAAGACAGCTTTTCAAACTCTTAATACTTTTAGTGTTTTTTTTCCTTGAAATCAGATATACCAGATTTGATTCTAAGCCTTGCCCACAGATGGTAAAAGGTGCTTTGTTCTCAATCACATGACTGTATGCATTAGACACACATGGTAGACACTGGGTGGGCAGCAGGTACCACCGCACTCCAAGCGCACAGGGACCCACCTTGTCCGGGCAGCTCATTGCACACTAACGGACTACTGTGGTCTTGACTCTTTAAGGACACACTAGCCTTTCACTGCACCTCTGTAGGCACTAATGCAAGCCATCAAATCTCCAGAAAGGCTGAGCCTTCCAGCACAGTAGGGACTTCAAAATGATCGGTTCTAGGAGTTAAATCCCAAACCAAACCATTCTAGACTTGGTGATCTGGGAAATAATATAAAGAGCGATCTCATTTCATGTTCCAGGAAACCATTTCTGTCACACTTAGCAATATAATTGTTGGGGGTAATAATTGTTGGGGGTAATCGGTTCAGCTGACATAACTGACAGCATGTGCCCAGCTCAGTGCTGGGCTGCAGCAAAGACAATGACCACAACACGGCTCTGGTCACCACGAGAGCATCTTCAAGGGAAGGACTCAGATGACATCTGAACTGTGACATGGCCACGTGTGACAATGGGAATTGTGACGAAGGGACACGCGTAGTGCTCTGAGAACCCAGAGGCTGCAGCTGGTGAAGCTCCCAGAGCAGCTGGGTATTTAAGCCTGACCTCGAAAGGTGTGTGGTAGAGAACTGAGCTAGTCTGGAGACATAAGAAGTCATGAGGGCCTCTGTCTCAGGATGAGTGTCTACAGGGGCCAGGCAGGCAGAAATGAGTGAAGCAAGCCGAAAATAAGAAAAGCAACCAGTACCACGATAAAGAGCCACCGACGCTGGGTTTCAGCGTCAGGGAAACAAAAGGAAAATGGAGGGGGAGGGCGCAGACCCCATCTAGGAAGGCGGCTGCCATTCTCACCATGTCCCTTTCAGGCCTTCATTTCTGCCCGTGGAGATCTCTTTGAATCTGTGACTAATTGGCCATCTTTTTCACTCTCAAATTTGTATCACCTGCAAATGCAACGAATTCTTTCCAGGCCTTTTCCCAACTCAATGAGCACAGCGTTGACTGGGCTGGCTACAGTGCTCCGGGGTCACACATGTGAGCCAGTTCTTCTGCTGGCCTCCCGCTCTCCTCAGAGGGGTGCCCGTGCCTCTTCACTTAGCTCTGCTCCTAGGAGAAAGTTCACCAACAGGGAGACGGCCACCCACCTATTCCTAGTGCTTTTATGGGAAGCCTGGCTTCCACCACAGGCTTGATGAGCACATGAGGGAGAGGGCTGGACCATCACAAAGCCCACGGGGAGCTGATGCTGGTCACGCAGCCACAGAAGTGACTGTGGGATGAGTTCTCGGCTTTTTCCAAGCTCTGGAGGACCCATTCCTGATAGCCCCAAGGGCTCCGGTGGGAACCAGAATGGGGCAATGGTCCCAGTTTGCTCTGTCCTAAGGGAGCTCAGGAGGCAAAGTCCTCACATCCCGGAACCACAGAATGTTGGCAGTCTTCTTGTCTTTTGGTACCCAGCCAGGCTGCGACAAGACATGCCCCAGGGTCACAGCTGGCTGGGAGCAGCATGGGTCCCCTGCCGAGCAGTCCAGTGTTCTTTCCTCCATCCCACATCTCACTATGGACAAACGGGCTGGAAGAACCAGAAGAATGAGTCTGGCTCCACCCTTGCTGGGCCTGTTCCCCAGAGCCTAAGCTTCCTTTTTGGGGTTTGAAGGCCTCACCATGAGCTCCGAGTCCCTAAGCCTCAAGGCGCCAGGAAGAGGTCATTTGACCCAGGACTTGAGGTAAAGAGAGACACCAGGAAATGATTCTCTCTCCAACAACCCAAACCCAGGACCAACCCCTAGGTAGAAGCATGAGGAGTTTGGGGGCAGGCTCACAAGGGAGCCCTCTGGAATATGGATGGACTGCCATCTTTACCTCCTCTAAAAGTTATGGCCAAAAACACAGCATTCAACAAGAGCAATCATGTGTCACCCAGGCAGCTAGAAGGATTGTTTTCCTCTGACTTCAAATCTTATGGTCTTTCTCCAGAAATGGTCAGGGAAACATAAGGGCATAATAGCTTCCCCTTTCACACTGGGGAAGCTCACAGAGCTCACACAAGACCCTGAACAGGGCGGGCCTGAGCTGTTCTGGCCTCCGGGAAAGGGCTGTGCCCGCATCCTGGCACTGGGTCCTCGCACTGCATCACCCACGGCGCCCTTCTCACCAAGGCTGAGGGGCCTGAGGAGCCGGGAGACGTGGGCCACAAGCTGCAGAGACCACGTAAGGTGGGGTGTTTCCCTCACAGTGGGGATGACACAGCAAACAGGTACAGAAATGTGATTCTCTTGAAGAAACACAAGTCTACCTCTGAGGGAGGGAAGGAATGACCTCACTGGTGGAAACGTGCCACAAGCTGGTGGGTGAACATCTGGCTTGGGTGATAAGCCCCACAAGAGGATCTCCTGATGAAATCTAGGCAGCCTGCTGCCTGCTATCTAACCCGGATGGCCCAGGGGCTCTGGTTGACTCGAAGACTTTACAAAGAAAGCCTCAGGCTGTGTCTGGAGAGGAAGAGAGCAAAGCAGCTTAAGTGCCCTGCACACAGCCAGGAGGCATTCAGTTAGGGCAGTAAGTCGGTTAAGTGGTGACGTCAGAAACACTGGAAAAGCATCTCAGCCCAGAGCCGGCGCAAAGCCAATGCCGGCGCTCCATTCGCAGGCACGCGCCGCTGGACACAGGGCACCTCCCGAAAACACTCGGGGCCCCAAACCATCACAGGGGCCAGAAGGAAAGAAAAGCTGGATACACAGCTCCTGTGGTGTTCACAGCCAGTATCAGCAACCAGACATGAAGGTCTCCTCACCTTTTGCAAAACTGCTATTCGCTAACTCAGGGTTAGAAAAAGCCCATCCCTCGCGCAACGTGGCGTGCGTTCTTCACGAGCTTTGAGAGCCCTTGAGTTTCCTCTGGTCTTCGTTGCCAGGAAGTTCAGAGCTAAATTTTCTAAGAACTGCCTTAGTTTAGCGCCAAGAATCTTCCCTCCTTCACTGGATAACTCTGGTTGTCTGGGGTTTGTTTCTGGTTTTGTTTTATGACATAATTTACATACCATAAAATTCATCCTTTTAAAGTGTACAGTTTGTTGGTTTTTAGTACATTCACAGAGTTGTGCAACCACCACCACTATTTAATTCCAGAATACTTCATCACCCCTCAAAAAAAAACCTCAGGGCCCAGCCCCATGGTCGAGCGGTTCCAGTTCTGCAAGCTCCGCTTTGGCAGCCAGGTTCACGGGTTCGGATCCCGGGCGCAGACCTACTCCACTCACCAGCCATGCTGTGGCGGTGTCCCACATATAAAGTAGAGCAAGAGTGGCACAGATGTTAGCTCAGGGCTAATCTTCCTCAAGCAAAAAAGAGGAAGATTGGCAATGGATGTTAGCTCAGGGCCAATCTTCCTCAGCAAAAAAAAAAAAAAAAAACCCTCACACCTATTAGCAGTCCCTCCCCACCCAGCCTCCCCTCTCCAGCCATTTGGGGCTTTTTAATGAAGGGTCATTTGATGTAAGAACACAACAATTCAATGCAGAACCCAAAAGGACTGGTGTTCAGGCCAGGCCAACCGTAGAGAGGCAGGAAGAATGGGGACGAGTCTGAACCAGGAGGCAGGGTCTGGCAAGACACCAGCACAGAGGGAAGGTAAAGTCACCTGAGGAAGGCTGGGGGCACTAAAAATGGCAGCTTAATTCAGAACTGAGAGCCTTCATCTGAAGACATCAATACGTAAGTTGAAACAACTATGAAAGGAAAATATACCTCTAGGAAGGATGATCAATAAATTCTTAAAGAAAAAGGTATGTGTGCAGGGATGAGCCTTCCAGATATTAAACAACATTCTAAAGCAACAGTAATTAAATAGGAGGGTATTCACACAGGAACACAGCAGATGAATGGAACCAAGGAGAGAATCCAGAACACACGGTCATTTTGAGCATGACGGAGGCGGGAAAAGTCAGACAGACTCTGAGGACTACTGGTCCTAACTGGTGACCATACAGAAATCAATAACACCAGATCCCTATCACACAACTTATAGCTAAATTAATTCCGTGTAAATTCAAGATCTCAATGTAAAAAACAAATCAAATTTATTAGAGGCAAACATGTTTGATTAAAAAAAAGTCTTGGCATGGGAAAGGCCTTTCCAAACTTGACTTGAAGTGACAACGACATAAAGAGGAAGAGTGCTAATCTGACTACTGGCATTTTAAATGTTCTGAGTGGCAAAAACATATATCATTTATAAAGTCAAAAGACATACAACAAAGTGAGGGCAATATTTGTGAAACATCTGATAAAGAATTAATATCTTGATATACAAAGAACACTTAAAATCAACAAGAAAAGGACAACTCCACAGAAAAAATGGACAAAGTATATTAATAAGAAATTCATAGTAAAGAAATAGATATGGCTAATAAACATATGAAAAGATGCTCAATTTCACTCATAAAGAATTTGCAAAACAAAGTCAAAATGACTTACACACTTTCTCTCACACTTGACTGGGAAAGACTGAAAGACTGATCATACCCGTGTTAGCGCGATGCTACCAAACATCAAAATGCCCATAGAAATTTTAGGAATTTGCCCTATGGATACTCTTCCAAACATGAAGGGGATACATGTAAGGATATTTCACTGCAGTGTGGTTTCTAATGGCAAAAACTGGAATTAAGCCAAATGTTCAGCAATGGGGACTGTTGAAAATTTATGGTATAACATTGCAATACAAAAATATGCAATCATTAAAATGAATGATGGGCTTCCAGTTAAACAGGGAACATTGAATCTATAGGCTTTTCTCCATTCCCACCCCAAATAACATTTAAATTTTAGTAAAGGAATAAAAGAAAACTATAAACCCTCCCCACCATGCCCAAGGACAGATAAAATGAGACACGAGAAAAAGCAATGAGAGAGAGGAAGAGCAGAGGGAGAGCAGCGATGGACACAGCGGAGAACAATGGAACCTTCGTTCTGCACATGGAGCAACTAACATGAAGCAAGACCTTTTGTGCCACAGAACCCAGAAAGTTCAGGAACTAAAGGCTCCAGGTACTGTGAAGGATAAGGCTGAGGGCTGAGGGTGCCAACAGGAAAGAGGGTTGAAAGGTTGTTTTAAGAGCGGTCGGATCCCTGCCCCCGCCCCCTCAGTTGCTCACCCTGGCAGGAGACAATTTCCTTAGAGGAACTGAAGTGAAAAAGTTTGGGACCCAGGCAGCATGAAGACCAGGGATAACACAAGAGGCTGAAATGGGGAATGAACAGAAATCTTCCTACTAAATGGTAAGAGGGTGTTATTTCAACAACCCCACAGACACACACACAAAACCACTCAGGGTAAATACGAAAGGGCTCTTCAAACTTAAGATGTGATGACACCAATTATAAAAATTCAACAGACAGTTTAGAAGATGAAGAACTCAATGGAAATAAGAAAAGGCAAGATAAGAAATTAAAAGGATAAAACGTAGAGGTCCAACATCCAACCAATCAGAGTACCAGTAAAAGAGGAGAGAGAAAATGGCAGAGGGGGAGGACTAATTAAAGAAATAATACAAAAATGTTTCCCAGAACTGAAAGAAGGGGTTTCCCAAGTGAAAGGGCTGACCAAGCAAGTGCCCAGCACAGTGGAGCAAGACAGACCCCACTGCAAATCACCATCATGGACGCTTATAACCTAGAGAGGAAGAGAAGATCCTTTGAGCTCCTACAGAGGACGCGGAATGAGAATGACACTGGCCTCCTCAACAGCAACCCTGGGTGCTAGAACACAATAGGACAGTGGCTCAAAAGTCTGAAGGAAAATGATTTCCAACCAAAGATTATATGCCCAAACAGACTAAGTTCACCAAACATGAGGTGAGGATAAAGACATCTGCAAATATGCAGGATCTCAGAGAACTTTACCTGCCATGCGCCCTCTTCTCAGGAAGCTGCTGGAGGATGTGTTCCATCATAATGAGGGAGTAACCAAGAAGGAGGAATACAGGAGAAAAGAATACAGGAAACAGAAGAGAGGCAAAGAAGATGCCCAGATACTGGAAGAGGAAAGGCCCAGATGACCTAGAGAACAACTCTAGACTGGAGCGGGAGGATAGACTGATCTGGGACTGATGTCCACAAACAAGTGACAACACAGAAAAGCTGGCTTTGCTGATGTACTTGGCCACATTTAGAGGGCCTTTCATCTCTTCCAGAGAATTTGGGGGATAGTCGTAAATGCTACACAGAAAACTAAGAAAATGGAAAGACAGCAATTACTAACTCCATGAAAAACAAAAGTTCATAAAAAGAAATAATCACAGAACCCTACAGAGCTCATCTTTGAACAATATTTACATAGTCACAATAACAGCAATACTGAATGCCAATCTAATCAACACATGTAATACAATTGTTTTAGGAGAACAAAAGGTGAGAAAACATGTGAACTGCTTCTTTGATATTTTCAGGTGGAGAAATAACGGCATTAAATCCTCATCTACTGTATTAGCAGGTGAACAATGTTGGAAATTGGAAAGTTAAAAAATAGGAGTGCACACATATTATTTAGACACAAAGGAAATTTGCAGAAGAAACAACTAAAAGAGTTGAAGTTGACTGAATCTGAGGAAGGGGGTTGGAGATGGGGAGGCATGGAACAAAGACTCCTGTTTCTTTCATTATAATTCTTATAATGCTATTTATCTTGAAAACTATGTACATGTGTTAACTTTGATAAAATTTAAATTTAATTAGTTTTGAAAAGTGAATCTCTCCATTCTGACACGGAACTATGGAAAAACAAGAGGTCACACGATGATGTAAATGTGTGACCCAAAATGTGTAAATCCAAGATTCAACTTGGGTTGAGCTTTTAAGCGTTCACATACGGTGATAAATGCAGAACCATCTGGAAAAAGACACACAGAACTGTTAACAATGAACCTCACCGAGAACTGGGCTGGGAGAGGGGAAAAGATGAACGTGAGATTTTTAAAATTTTTACTTCTTCAATCTGTGTACTTTGACTTTTTTTAAAGTAATAAGCATGTATTACTTTCTAAATTAAAAATACTTTTAAAAATTCATCCCCTTAAAAACTAAGAAGTTTGGGGGGCCGGCCCAGTGGCGCAAGCGGTTAGGTGCGCGCGCTCCACTGTGGCGGCCCGGGGTTCGCTGGTTCGGATCCCGGGCGCGCACTGACACACTGCTTGGCAAGCCATGCTGTGGCGGCGTCCCATATAAAGTGGAGGAAGATGGGCACAGATGTTAGCCCAGGGCCGTCTTCC